CCCACCATAGACTCTGGGTCCCCCCCAACACTCACTCTTTCCGTAGCGTTGGTCTAAGTCCTCAAGATGGAGAGAAAGGAACCAGAGTGATTGTACAGCCGCTAATGGCGCTGCCATATGGCCTCGGTCACGTGGTTCGTGACTTAAGGGAAAGAGAATCTTGGGGTCATGGGGCTTCCCCTGACCTAGATTCTATCTCTCCGTCACCGGCAAAATCGCTGATTAATGCCTACAGTTCAAAATAGTCATTTTGACTGACCGGAGTCTATGGTGGGTATGAACTATGTGAATAGATTGGTTTGGAGAACTCTCTGCCTAATTCTAATTTTACCTTTACTGAATTTGCTATAGGGTGTACGTTGTATATTTGGCTATCTGGCTAAGATATGTTTGGGTTTATTCAATGTACACTTTGTCATGCTTTTTTCAAAGTCATGCTTTAACAAAATATTTAATGTTATTTCATTACACTTTAATATGTACAAGTGTTTCTATTGAAGGTGCACTTTTATTAGAGGAAATATGGTACTTTAATACATAAAAATATAAAAATAATCAAACCAGCATGGTTGCAACGACACCAGTAAAACAGTGATCTTATTTCTCATCAGAACTACCCATCCAGTTCCTTTCTTATATCGGTAGATTGTGAACATATAGAATGTATTTCATTTCATTATTTTGGGTTTTCTCTTTCAGGTGCGGTTATGCCACCTCCAGCAAGCCATCCTAACTTACCAGGTTTCAACTCCCTAGGTCAGTCATTTGCTAGTGGAGTGAGCCCTTTAGGTCAACCATCTCCTGTTAGCGGTACACCAATGGCAGCCTCCTCTACAAGACATCTGTCCAGATCAAGGAGACTCTCTTTAGATCCCCATGTCAGGCTGAAAGTTGAAAAACTGGAAGTTGTAAGTAATATGTGACCTATGATACTTTGTGACTATTAACAAATCTTCTAGTTTTCAAATTGTGTTTTGAATGATCATTGCTGAAGGAATATATTGTTTATTTAGCTTGTATTTATCAAATTGAAGATGCTCACCTTTACTATCATTTCCTGTCAACTGCCTCAGAGCAGCATGTAAGGGACAGTACAACTCGCATGTATTGAGATGAATATATCACTTGTCCAGCTGAAACAGCTGGATCTTTTACATGCTTAAGAATAGTAATAGTACTTGAAACTGACAGCTTAATGTTCTCTTCGAAATGAGGCCATTCTTTCAAATACGAATAGCAAGTAGGCAGAGTGTACATATTTGTATGTTACTGCTGAGTATGCAGCTGACCATGGGAGTCAAACCCACAATTTCCCTGATGATTCTAACCATGGATTGTGTCACACATAAGGTCATAACAAACTCAATGTATCCTGTGTAAGCTCCTGTGTGTGTGAAAATAACATTGACTTTTCTTTCGACTTACAGGCATTAAAGTATTTGGGACTAGAACCAACTGCTGAACAGAAGCAGGAATTAAGACAAAAGTTAAGACTTGATGCCAATGGACAAGTGTCATATGGAGGTAGTTGTTTATTCTTTATATTTAGTCTACAATTTTGTAATTTGGGTTGTGTGCATTGGTTTCAACATCTGATAATCAGTTCTTAGACATGCCTTGATTTGTGTTGTGTGCATCAGTTCGTTCATCTGACATTAGTTCTCAGACATGCCTTGATTTGGGTTGTGTTCATCAGTTCGTTCATCTGACATTAGTTCTCAGACATACCTTGATTTAGTTTGTGTGCATTGGCTTGTTCATCTGACATTAGTTATCAAACATACCTTGATTTGACCATCTTGTTTTTTCTTTTCCAGATTTTGTTCAAACTGCAAGAGATATATTTAAATTTCAACTAGATGATCACGGTAAATTATTCTTTGCTGCTCACGACTTTACTGACTTCACAGAACCTCCACCAATACAACACCATCACGTAAGTTGTCATCATGCTTATCAAATCATACATACTTGAGACACACTCATGCAGGGTTTGTAGTCTCAGTGTTTTACAGTGACTACAGTGATTTGATGTTGTTAAAACATTGTTTCACATGAACATATACTGACTGAGGGTTTTAGAATTCCCAGATGAGTTTCTCAACTAGTTGCCTTGGTTACCATCTCCATTGATGGTTCACTCTCGAACATATTGTTGTCTTCAGACATTGCCAACATTTGAAGAGAAACCTACTGAAGATTTAGAAGCATTAAAAATGGAAAGAGATGAAGCCCTGAGAGAAGTGGAAAGATTGAAAGTATGTATGAAATAGAGCTGTGGGTCCAGTCTTTATACCTATTTGCATTATGCATTACTACTATGGTTGCTCAGATTGTGCAGTCAGTCTATCAGGTTTAATGTTGATTGCCATAATGTTAAGAAGATGGTCATGCAGCCATGTCACATAGTCCTAGAAATGGAATATGGATTTCTTAAAGAAAAATACACTGTTTGATATACTTTGATTCATTGTTGTATTGAACTATGAAACTGTTCATTGTGTTATCACCTGTCATGTATTTTTTTTATTTGTAGTCATTACTAAGAGAAAAAGAAAGATCATGTAATATAGCAGAAGAAGAACTACTCAGGATAAGAAGGGTAAATATTTGTGTTTGTACAGAGATGTTTATTCAGTTGAACTATTAGAACAACTTATGCATTAATAAGTTGATGCATTACTTTATTTTTCTTTCGCATACAGCCTGGAATAGTTATAGAATCTGATTTAGTTTATTAGTTGGGTGATATTTAAGCATCATTCTCATCTAGTTGACGAGGAGGGAGGTTTAAACAATCATACATGTCTGCCAAATGACTGGCAACCATGGGCTTATTCAAATAAAGTGTTAATCCAAGCTGTTAATGACAATACGATCTTTCATGGCCGACAGTGGTGTATGTATGATGTTAACACATAGATTAGATAAATAACAAAGAAAACATGGTTAAATCTCCTGTGCTGAATTCCATCATTTCCAAGTGGATGAAATGTGCCTTGATTTTTCACATGTATACATCTTCTGCTATTAGGAAGCGCAAGGTGCAATTCATGAAAGTAGATCACTTCGAAGTAAAGTTCATTTAGCGGAGCAAGCCCAGATGTCTGCCAGAAGGATGGAGGTAGATTATGAAGAAGTTGTGAAATTATTAGAAAATGAGATCAAAGAACTTCGCCATATAAAAGCTGCTGCTGCTGCTCCTAGGAAGGTAATTATTTCACACCTCATAACACTTGTTCAACCATGTTCGATTGCTTGCTACGCCCTTTTTTTGGCTTCAAAGTACCAGTATTACCTTAATTCCGGCCTCCCGTAGCATTGAAAGGTAACTATTATGCAGATAGTTGCCAATAACATCGACTTTGATGATTTGAACACAATGTGAGGTAACGATACAACTACGTACATGTACACCGGGTATGCACCCCTATGCACTCTTACAGACAGTTAATCCACAGCAACAATCTGGGGGAGACTATTCTCGTACATACTAGCTTCACTCGTTCACTCGCAATGTAAATGATTTAAAATACAATATTTGATGAATATAGTTTCTTTCTTATTTTATTTTGTCATATGAGATTAGGAATTTTCTCTAATTTTCTGCTTTATAGTGGCAGCAAATTTGCCGGTTTTGACTTCAAAATAATCACTACAAATAATAACATTTATGTGCTCCCTGCCAATCCATGATGAACTTAAGCTCACTTTGTGCTCCATATATGTCTCACAAATAATGGGTTGTACATCAGTTGTTTTAAAGTATCTCTCATTCACTTCTACTTTCTTATTCCATGAATGGTGTTAAATTCTGACATTTTCATCACAATTGTTTTTCATCACCACTTAGCAAGAAGATACAAGTGAATTCCAGAAACGTCTTGCTGTCCTAAGTGGCCAATTACGCAAGGCTGAAGTTAGTAAAAAAACATATGAAGTTTCTACAGAAAGGCTTCTACAGTTTGCCGAGGTTAGTTACAATTATGAAAAATCAAAATTGATTATAAAAATGTTATCTGCATTCTGTTGTATATTCAAATACTATAACAACATGTGTTTATCATTGTACATTCTAGTTGGTGCATGAGACGCTATCTGATGGAACAAGTGCAGCTAGCGCATCGTAAGTATACCCTGACATTATATTATGGTTTAACGCCGCAACAATGAAACATCTTCATGTAATTATGAACATACTTGTCTATTTTAGGGCACGTAGTCGTGGTGAAAGCGCTAGGCGTATTGACAACGGAGCTGGTTCCCGTCCACCTGGTTATTTATCTAAATATGGTAGAAAAGGAACAATAGATTTAGCTATTGAAGCCAGAGATACAGTGAAAGCAGTCAAACAACTAATAGAAGTTGATTGTAAGTAAAACTACTCTAATTCTATTGAGGGTACCATTGTTTTGTTATACATCCACAAAATATTGCTTCATGGGTAGCTCATGATCAAGTGCATGTTTTATCTGATGTAGTCATCACAAAACTACTTTATAACATTGACATGGTTTATTTTCTAGCTTTACCGTATGGTTGGGAAGAAAGCTATACGACTGATGGTATGCGATATTATATAAAGTAAGTTACATACAGTTCTGTACAATACATTGTATATATATTGTAATATCTAGCACCCAAAACAATAGATTATAGTAACGAGAAACGCTGATACTGTATCTCTTATTAAATTATTCTTACAAACAAGAAAAGATGTATAATAATAAGGTTATCAAGAGAATACCGCAAAGTATGCACTCAGGCAGTACATATGATACAAGTGCTGTATTGCCTGCATTGTAGACTTTTTATACAAATGCAAATTTGTCTATCTTATTATTTATTTTAAGTTTGATCATTATACACAAATTAGTTACAATGACACAGCAGTCTTGTCCTGTGTCATATATTGTTCACTGATTTGTATGCGTGATTCCATTGTTGGTTGATTATATAGTTTCATATTTCAAGTTGCTTTTCTGTATATTCTATTACAGCCACGTGACACAGTGTACAACATGGCAGCATCCAGTGACAAACGTCCAACCAATTTCATCGCAGCACCCACATCCTTCATCATCTTCTTCATCACGACATCATCATCATCATCATCGTCATCTACCAGAGACTAGAGCCTAGAGTACATCACAAGGGTCATCAGCTAGATGTCTTACTAATGATAGATGGGTAGTATGCATGTCATCAGAATCTGATAATGATGATGCTACCGGTACTGCTGCTGCTGCTACTGGTAGTATTGTCTATATCAGAGATGATAATTAACGAGTCTGTCTCAATTAATCTAATGCAGTAAATTAAACTATGCCTCAATAATGGTAGCAGCTACACTCTAATAAATTCTACCTACACTGTGCCTTATTCACTGGTTGGATGGATAGTAGCTACATTCTATTATTCTATAAGTTGGAGTCCGCTCTTCCCATAGCTAGAGCAAGGAGACACAATTTGAGGTTAATTAATGCAAGAGCATAGCACATTATTGACATGAACAGTATACAGGAGATGTGTCAGCAGAGATTAGTGTGCTTTCAAAGTGAATACTTTGTGATATAAAATTTCCATTATTAGACTTCATATCATCCCAATAATTATTAGCAGAATGTCACAAGGCATGGGGTGAAATAAATCTGTTTATTCGAGTAAATATATACAAAACTAATAGATGCATATCTGCATGCACTCAGTTTTGACATTCCACCACCCTTGAGTCTGATGCTAATACTATGAGTTAGGTGAATGACACATCACCTGAACCATCAGACCTAACTAGCATTCTGCAGTCTGTATACTATTTCCAGTAGTGGATCATCATGGTATAAAACATGATTCGAATTCTACTACTATTTCAAAAAGCTGCTGTATGAATCTACTGAAGCCATTAAAATCTAACTAGATCTTCCCAATAAAGGTAGTTATAGAATTTGCTGTTTTTATTAAATTGTGCTGCACGTTTATGGCATGAGACAGCCTCTTTAATTCTTATATTCATTTAACGTTGATTGTAATGCACTGTATGTAAATCCCATCCTTATATCTAGCATGTACCATCCCCTTGTAGATGTCATCTTAGTTCAGTCTATGGTGTACTAACTTGTGGTTGCATATTCAGCTCTATATACTCATTTAACCACTTAAGCACTTTCCTTCTGCACACTCACCATATATGCCATGTGAAAACCTCAACATACTGCCAGACCTCCAGTCAATGACTGCCAGACCTCCAGTCAATGACTGCCAGACCTCCAGTCAATAATAGCTCAACCTCCAATTGCTGATCTCAAGAATTCAATCTACTGTCTGTACGACATCCAGCTATACTGCCAGCCTTTGTTTATGACCATAAGACTCCAAGTTAATGACAAACTTGTGTGTGAGTCACACACATGGTTGTAGTAAATTGTTTGCCTTACGTGTACTGCTAATTAGCAAGTATTCTATGAATATAAAGTTGTACGTACTTGATGAGGACCACTGATTGACGCTGCTCATAGTGGCAATCATTTCAACATTTTTAATATTATGAAATAATGAGGAGCATAGAATATCAAGATTGGGTGTTGCATTTTAACATTATAAGATGTTTCTATGTAGACTGCTGTTATTGAATTTCTGATTTCTAATATGTTTCTGGAAATATTGGGTTAATTCCTGAAATTCAGAGAAGTCAGACTTGTTCGAAAGACGTGTTTAAAAACTGAAAGTAACCAATTTATTCTATAACAATGTATATTGTAACTGTACATCTATGTGATTGAACTAGCTTAAATTGTTCTACAAACAGAAATGTGAAACATACTTGTATACTCTAAAGTACCTGGAATGAACTTCAATCAATACAAGTATGTACTCTCAGATCTGTGGGGCTGCAGCATTGGCAAAGATATCATATACCTCAAGTTTTCACAATATATTTAATTTGAAATGATGTATCTTTTGGCAGGGTTATGCTTTAAACTTCTTAGAGAATTTTTATTTTAAAAATACTAATTTAAACTTTGTAAAATATACAATTCTCATTTGCTAGGTTCACTAGTGGATCCCTTCTGATTTTGTATTTATTTTGTATATATTTTTTGAAAGTTTTATTGCTCTGTTTAAATGATTTCATTTTGTGTTTTATAAGAGTATGTTTAGATATTCATAATAACCAGATGATTTTTTGTGGAAGGTTGAAATATTAGCTATTTTATGTAAATCTAGGAATACCACATCTTGAATGTTCATTGTTGGATAATTTTTATGGCATTGAGACTGCTTCAAAAATTTGGCATGCCTCCAACTCTGAAAATTGTCTCCCCACTTCTGGAATGTTAACAGGTGTGTGGCATGTCAGAGGACAGAATATTGCGTCTATTGCATGTATACTGTGATTCTGGATATGTAAATAATACACCAGTTATCAATACAGTCTTTGTGTTTTGCTATTTACGGCCGTGTCTCCTCTTGGTGGCAGTGTTTATTAGAATTACTGTGCAAGGCATCAGCCTTAGTTAAATCAGGGGAGTTGTCATCTGCGCATGCATCAGATGGCCATAGCGTGTCATTGTTTACAAACAAGCGTCTACCCATGAGCCTTTGAGTTTTTAGCATGTGGTGTTATCGTCGCTTTTCGTGTGCGCAGATGGCGACCCTCTCGCTTTAACGTAGGCTCACAATCACCAACCACAGTGCATGTACAATCAGCATTTACAAAAAATATTTGCTCTATTTTGTCCACATGTTAGCCTCATATCCTATAACTACTAATAATGTAAATTTGCCTCTGTTTATCAATTAGTTTATCAAGTGTATAGTAGAGTATACATATGTTATGGTTACATAGAAATTTGAGATATTAAAACAAAATACATTGATATCCCACCTTATTTATTATAAGAATTGAACACTGCCTGTGTATGTTTGTGGTGCAGGCCACAACAACTTGCTTGTGTTTAAGTCCCAAGTAACAATGAATAAATGTTAAAATGTCCAAATTCAGGGGATCTACAGCTTCACAAATATACTTGCCAGTGTGATATCATCACATCTTAATGTTATTGAATGAAGTGCGCCCTCTGTGTCATGTTTAGACACAAAGCTTCTCCCTGATCCAGGTGACAAACATGTAAACTGATCATGAAAACAAATCTTTATCAACTTGTGGTTTTGATAGACTGAAAATAATCACAATCTGTATCAAACTTTAAAAATGTACTTTGTATTTGGGTAAAAAGAGACTGTTCCTGTACCCGCACTACAATAAACTGTCCATAATTTAATTGGGGTGGGGGTGTCCCACAATTTGAATCCTAGAAATACTTTCACAGGCAGTGCACGTCCAACACATGTTCAAATGCCGTGTATCTAGACTATTACCATCTTGTGTGTTTGTATTGTTAGGGTACTAGTATAGAAGTACAGTATTTGGACATTGTATTACTTATAAATGCTTACATATTGTTTTAAGCAACTTTCAGGATTGGCAAATTTCTTTGTAAAGGTCTCACTTCAGTGTACAGCCAGGGAATGGTTTAGTCTAACATTTTTATATTAAAGACAGGTGTTTTTTAAAGTAACATTATTGTAGGAGTTTATCAATATTGAAATCATGTTTATATATGTATAAAGTGAATAATGCAATAAACATTTATATCATATTAAGATTTGTATTTGACTATTTGTATAACGTGATTGATCAGGTAAAGTGACACTGGTATTAAGTTAGAATGCTATATGAAAGTAAAAATATTGTCATTTTCTTTATTTTTGATGTATCATGTTAGAAAGATAAAGAAAAGAAATAAAAAAAATAGTTCAGAGGAAATTAATCAATAAAATGCAGTGAAAATAGCATGTTTTGAACATTTAACCATTGTTTCCTATGGCAAGGTTAGACCTCAATATCTCAAAAATTTGCTTGGTGTAATGTGGTAACAAAAATAGTGTACCAGTATTACAATGTACTTTTTGATGCGTATAAGTATTAAAAAATTGACAATATTTTTAGTAGGGTTTGAATGTGGAAATGTGTTTTCATTGTGGTCTGTGGAAACTATTTAAAATGCATGCGTATTTTACCTTTGTCTCAATTATTTACAATGAACCATACTGTTGATTAAAACGAATTCCGGTACATGTAATTGTAGACAGATTTTGATACGTAATATTTGTACTGTTTTATTACCTTGCCCGTACCATCAAAGATGGAAGGGAAAGGTATATTAAGGGAAAAATTTTGTCCGGCGTTGTTGTTGTCGTCGTCGTTAATAATTGTTATTGTGTGCATAATAACTTTACTAATTCTATTCCAAACTTTATCAAACTTGGTCACCTTATTCATCAGTATAAAGTCTTCCCTGAGTTTGAACAACAGATGTCCTGTATGAAAATATCATGCAAAAATTGAGAAAATCTGATAAAATATTTTGACTGTTTCTACTTGACTGATCACTGGTGATACACATCAAAGGTCACTGATCTCAGTGGAAATATGCATTGTTGTATGTGTTCAATGAAGCAAATGATTTATCTTGTAATAATATCCTTGGTAATGTATCTCAGAATCCCATACTGGGTTTCAAAACCAACTCATGGAGAGATTGCACAGTCTGATACACATTTGCAAACCTACCAATAAAATCTTTACAGAAAACAATATGTCAGAAAATCAATATAAGCACTCCTATGTACTGGGTGCCTAACTTTGATCAAGATCTGAAGCTAATAGAAAATCTGTTTAGTTCAAAGTTATCAAATCAAAAACTACATAAAAAATACATTAAAAGCAAAACATTTCATCCACATTTTATAAAGAAAATTATTCTAAAATATATGTATTCTGTATTTGACAAACAGTTCATTCGACAAATGAAAACTCACAGGAATACTACCCCCCCCCCCCAACGAAGATGATATTTATTTTTAGTCTGATATGCATTGTACAGTGTGTTACTTTTTAAATGTTAAACATTTCATTGCATTTGTACTGTGACATAATTGCGTTAATTTTATTCTACTTTATGTTTTTTCTATTCTGACTGTTGTTGCGCAGGAAATTGAGCAGACAAGATGTTTGCAAACCACAAATCCCCACTACATACACCTAATATTATTCCGAAGAAGAGGGGGATATTATACGAAATGATTTTAAGTTCTTCAATCTTTCTTTATTGGTGTATAAATACGTGAATGTCGATTACATTGTATATATTGACAAGAAAGTAAACTTTTGTCACTTTTTACAACAACAAAAACTTTTTTCCTTATTCTTTCCAAGAAGTTGATAATACCCAGATATGCATTTCGTCC